TCTGCTTTCCGCATGAAGATCCTGCCGTGTGATACGCATACATATTTCCGTTCTCTTTCACGCCTTGCTTGCCGCGCCTTACTGAGCAGAACCTAAAATTACATGCACAGGTGTTCATTTATATATGCAGGGTTACTGTTGTCAAAACCAAGATGAGTGTTATCTAGTTTAGACCTTTTGGCTGCAGACAGCATCTTGTTTCGCACCGTTCCGGTGAGGAATCTGATGACCACATTTGATTTATTTTTAGGGACGAAGCTCCTTATAGCGACACCCGTTCGACCCTGTAGTATGTAACAAGTATAACATTTTGACCTCCAAGGTGGTGCCGGTGAGAGACTTCTTCTGTGCGTTGTTGAACAACAAAATATAGTGCTCAATGTACATGTCAATGGCTGCTAATGGGGAATGAGAGACAGGAGCATTCGGCTTTTAGTTAACGTGTAGGCTGCAATCACCATTAGCAGCCATTGGCATGTACATTGAGCACTATCTGACAAGAAAGGGTTGCTACGTTATACTCGCTGGGTGTAACCTCCTTAGCTTTAGAAAGGTTTAGCGAGCGTTGAGCCGCAGTGCCATGAATACAATGAACATGTATATACCATGAATGAACTCGAGGTGGTTAAAAATGGGAAGTAGATACGAAGCGCAAGACGTAAGAAAGTATAAGCCGAGTTCTACGCCTCTTATTTCCCATTAGCAGCCATTGGCATGTACATTAAGCACTATCTGACTGAAAACGTTTGCTACGTCATATTCGCTGGGCGTAACCTCCTTGCTTTTCGAAAGGTTTAGCGAGCGTTCGGCCACAGTGCCATGAATACAGTGAACTAGTATATACCATGAACTCGAGGTGGTTAAAGGTGGGAAGTGGACCCGAAGCGCAAGCCGTAAGAAAGTGTGCGTGTGCCACCTCTCGTTTAGTCTTTGAACTGTCCGCTGGATGGCGGTGCTTCTATATGGGGAATATATGATGAAAGATGCGAGATGATGGTACTTGAAGTGTTGAATAGATGGACGAACGGAGACATAGACAGATGCATGGATGGACGCATGAACGGACGCAGGAACGGACGCACGAACAGACGCACGCACGGACGGGCTCATGGACGCATGGGCGGTCACACTGACGGACGCATCAACGGACGGAAGCAAGAACGAATGGACGGACGAATTCTTCACCCCACTCTCCATCATTCACTCCGTGGATATGCTGCCATTTTTTTTTGATAGTACACGGTGCGCGACGTCAATGTCGTTATCTGTGACATCAGCTGCTAAGCATTTGGCGATGTTTGCGACAGTTTTCTCCAAGTTTTCTTATTGGATTAGCGGAAGACCTTTGATTTCAATATTCATATTTCGGCTGTATTGCTTCAGCTCGCAAAGTTCCCGTTTAGCTTCTTTCAGGTCCCTCCGAAGTTCTTCATTTTCCTTACGACACTGCGCACTCTCAACCTTTACGATGTCAAGCTCCTTGCGAAAAGCCTCCCCGTCAGTCCTAAAAGGCTCAAAACTCTCATTCATGAAGCCAATAGCATCTCGAACACTTCCAAGCTCAGTTACTATTTTAGTGTTAGAGGAAGCGACCTTACCTACTTCACATTTACACTCAGTCGAGAACACGTCAAGTCTTCGCACCAGATCACCTAGAAATTTCAAGATCTCTTTAATGCTAATAGGCTGCCTCTAAGCAAGGGTCGCCGCAATGATGCCCGTGTCGCCCGAATTTTCATCCCCCATGGTTTTAAGCAATCCAAGTAAAAATTGCACAAAAAATGCTCTTGTGCATAAAAAGCAAGAGGCAAAGTTTGAAGATTAAAAAGAAAACACTGATGCGACTAGAATGCCCAATCAAACTTCAGCAGAAGTAGCAGCGACGAAACTAGGCGCATATAATGTTCATTATGAAAGTTAACTAACCTGCAAAGAGTGCAGACAGTAGGTTAGCGTGCGTCCCTTCGCCGTCGCCGCTGCTGCCTGAGTGAAGGCAGTTGCAAAGAGACAACGCCCCCAGCATAAATTTGATAACAGCTTGAAACTGCAGCAGGCTGAGGTAGATGGCGGTTTCGGTAGCGCTGTCCAGATCACTTTTCTTATGATATGACGGTATCTGCAAAGAATGCAGACAGTAGGTTAGCGTGCGTCCTTTCGTCATCGCCGCTGCTGCCTGAGTAGTGGATGCGAGAACACCACTACTGTTAAGCCGATTCAATCTACTGACAGTGCAGACTTTTCTTACGGTTGTATGAAACACTATCTAATCATACTCAAACAATTTTCATCTCCAATCCCGATATATTCTTCTCCGAGCACTAGCCTAGATTCCGCAAGCCACAAATCATATTTGTGCAAACCAACACTACTCAATCCCTGAATGTGCAAATTCATGATGTGCGTGCTTTGACCATGCAACCTAAACTCACAGACATTGTCTACCACGATGTTTTTCTGAACTACGCGAAATTATTACCTCACGGATTTTTAAATGGACTATTACAAGAGCATCTAAATAACCTGCCAACGAAGGTCGGTATTGCAACAGATGCATCACAAGCTTACGAAAAAGCTGGCATAGGAACATTTTGCCCTCAACTTGACAGGTATTTTCTTTGTGGCGAACGAACTTGATGCGTTCGTTCGCCTCCGCTGCACGCTCGGGGTACTCTAACGCAGCGCCTCCAGAATACCACTCAGCAATTTTCGAGCGCAGAACATCAAATAAATGTCTTGTTCACTCTTTCCACGCGCGACTATCGTCTTTCGATGGCATTTGCAGAAACATGCAGATAGGGGGCCAATTTTACTATCTCATAGCAGCTTTTGCTATAAAATACTTTTTAGGCGCTCACTTTGCGCTTGGATATTTAAGAGGCGTTTTAATATGTACTGTAACTTCGGTGCTCAGGGTCAGTGCATATGTTAGTACAAGATTGCTGCTATTATGTTTTTGTGCCAAACCCTCCCCGCTCAGAATTCCGCTCTATCTAATTTATCTGTTCTTTACCTATAGGGTCAGTGATTAATACCAATAGATATTATTGTTTTGTAAAAGAAGTTTTCAGTTGTTCGCAATTACCTAGACACTTTGATAAAGTCTGGTCCACTATAGCGATACATTAGCGAACATATACAGCAGTTCAAAACCAACAAAAGCCTTCATTCTCTATTTCATAATTTAGATTTTATCGATTTGCATGTGAGTCTTTTTGCTCGCTACTGCTACTACTACTACTGCTACTACTACACACACACACACACACACAAATATATATATATATATATATATATTATATATATATATATATATATATATATATATATATATATATATATATATACATATACTGAGAATAATATTTCAATGGACCAGTGTGTCTTCGTGCGTACATAGGGTATAACACAACGGGATCATTGTCAACCAGGATAAATATGTTTATATAAATATAGGATTTAAGTGTGCACGTGTGGAATTTTGACACCCCACCCCTACGGGGTAGTCGTGGTAAGCTAATAATATGCGTGATTTATATTTGGTAGACGTCGTTCTTCAGGGTATCAGCGGCTTGATCTCTAGAACCCGCTGGATAGCGCAAACTTCGCTAAAAAACACAAGTGACAAAAACTTTTTAACTGGTAAGCTCCTTTTGCTCTATAACCAAAGTCACTACAATTGCCACGAGGAAATGCTTGCTGAGCAAGTAATAAGACGAATGTACGCAAAAATGAAATGATGGTGCTGACGCCACCAGTCATTGCGAAGCAACAGTGTTTCGGGGCGTCTACTTGCTCTAACGTACTTCTAAATTGGATATGTGAATGCATTGCTATAGGTCTGGTCCACAAACGCTGCATAAAACGTTTCAAGGAAACTAAAAATAATACGTTGAGTTTATCGTCTCTAAAACACCGTATCAATATGATAGACGCCTAAAGTGGAGGGCTTCGAAATGTTTGACCACCTTGGATTCTTCACTGTGCACCCGAATCGAAGTATTTGAGACTCAAACATCTTCGCCTACGTTAAAATGCATCCACGGCAAGTCGATCTCGCGATTTTCGCGTTACTGTCGAGTGGCACAACCATTGAACCACATGCAGCGCAGCATTGTTTTCTGAAAACTTCGTTAAGGGTGTCTGACCGGAAGGCAACTGAATGGTTTCTCAAATTTGTGTGTCACGAATTAAGATTGTGTCTTAAAAGTTTAAAGATAAAAGTTTGATCTTCATTGTCTCTTCTGATAAGGAGCTTATGTTCGTTAAACTACAATATTGTGATCAATAAGTGATTGTTTATCAATTGAAAGTAATTCAATGTTTCTCTACAGTACCCCTTTAAAAAACTGCCCTTCTTGAATTGATAGATCATAGTCATGTACCTGTCGGGCTCGCATCGCGAACTTTGCCATAACGCTATAGGCTACGTCAAAGTCGGTTCGATCGTTGCAGCGCCGTGTCTGCTGAAGAAGGAAACCGTTAGCTTTTCTTCATAGGTTTTTCTAATTCGTTGCTATCACAATACCTGTTTCACTTTCAGATGGACCTTTTATGTCATTGACTTTCACCCGTGTTTAATGGAACCAGCGCAAAAAATTAATAATATGCCTTTATCGTGAAAGGCATTTTTTCCAACAATAACAGAGGCAGGATGTGTACGTGCAGACACTTCAGGTGAATAGTGTAGTGCTCGTCCTGAATGGTTATTTATGAGCAACACCGCAGTTTTACTCCACAGCTGGCTCATGACTAAATTTATAGCCCACAAGTATTGTTATGCCCGGGAAATGTTCTTAAAATCTGGAAAGCAGTACTTCGACTTCCACCAATGCACCGGATGCGGCTTCTGCGTTTCCTTTGCTAAAATGAATGAGTGGGATATCAGAAATTTGCATGAGGAAAAATGGATGTTGGACGCTTAAAACTTTTGATGTCGTCAAACTGCTATATAATGAACTCGCACGCAATGTCACCGCGATCCTTTGAGGTAGCGTCAAAATTTTCGCAGAGAACTCTGTAGTGTGGACGAAGCAGTTGGTGAGTCAAAATAATTATTTTGCCCTTTAGTCTATTTTTTAGGAAGAAAGTGTACAGAGAAAGAAGTGCCTATGGGCGTGATTGCCCACGGGCCAATACCTATGTGCCTACGGGCTAATACCATTATTATCATGTAGGAGCATGTCCACCACAGTGGTGTAGCGGTCAAGGTGTCCGGCTTCTGACCAGTAGATCGTTGGTTTCCTCTCAGCTGCGGTGGTCGCCTTTCCACAAAGACGGAACTGCCAAATATCGTGTATTATGCAATGTCAGGCCTTGTCAAAAACCGCCAGATGCTCAAATTTATTGCTACCTTTATAACAGCGAATCACATGACTGTATATTGATTTTATTGTTGATGACCGTATGTATGATTTTATTGTATGTTGATATCAATATTTGTTACATTTATTTTATTATTTTTCATTGATGTTATCACATAGGAACACGTATTGTGTGGAAACGGGGCATTTCATTAGGAAAAGACGTGTTCATGAGGTTAATTACCGAGATTAGGTGAAACAAGAGACTTTTTTCTCGGCACTGCCAAATGATAGGATAGAAGGGGGAACGTGGGGGTGCTGCCGATATCATATTTGAGGAAAATGTCAAACACCTGGTCAGTTTGTACATCAAGATAAAGTATAAACTAATCAAGAAGACGAGTGCTTAAGCACTACACCAGTTTCATCATTGCAGAAGGAATGTGAGTTCCTGAGATCCTCATGGTAGAATCTCTGAATTTAGGTAAGCCACATTTGTGTTTTTGTTGGTTTTTTGAAGACGGCACGTGCATTGACTATTCTGAGATGGTGATAGCTTACAAAGCTCAGATGCTAGCACAGTGAATGTGCATCTCACTTTTGTTCCTTGTCGTCCATCTTCTTGCATGGATTTATGTTTTTTTTTTCACTTATAACTTTATTCCTTAATTATTTACTTGTACTCTCAGGGTGTACAAGAAGCATTGTAGAGGTCAATGTGTGAAGTAAAAGAAAAGAATAGAAGCGATTCACATACAAACAAAAGTAGTGGAAAAACAATGCTCCTTCGAAAGAAAAGATATAGCACCATAAAATAGAGTATAAATGGTTACATACAAGATATGCGTATACATCAGCTAGTAATATAGAACTGAAAAATACACCATTATACAGCATTTACAGCAACAGGCAATGTGTACTTGACCAAGAAATCCGAATGATGCATTTTCATGCATAAATGGACATGAAAAAAAAGTATACAGGGAAATGCATAAAAAGGTAAATCTATCGAAGTACTAAAAACACATATACGCGTGCTAACAAAGCTAACGTTTATATGTTGACAAAAAGAGACCTGCATAAAAGTAGGTGGTAGACAAACAATAACTCGTAAATACCATTTCGAGTGTGATGCAGCATTATAGTATGCTTGTTTGTTCAGTTGCGGGAACGGTCGGTATCTTTTCTAGTGGTTAGTGACGCAGGCAAGTTAATCCACTCATGACATAGTTCCTGGCAAAAATGAGTATGACTGGGTGACTGTCTGCTGTGAATGTACGTCAACTTTGCAAGGGTGGTCGTACTCGTGGGAAGTTAAAGATGCCGGTGCGATATATCAGGATTTCACGTGTTCGTTTTAATAATACATTTCACGAAGAAGACAAGGACGAGATAACCTTGTTCGAGAAGAAACAAGGGCAATGCCAAGTGTTTGTATCACAATAGTGACGCAAGCAGTTCGGTGGTAGTTGTGAAGGGTGAAATGGGCTGTTCGATTTTGTGCGTTTTCTATTGCGTGTATCACACTAGCAGTGCCAGGTTCCCACGTCTAGCATGAGTAATCAAGGTTTCGTCTCACACAAGTAATGTCAAGCTGTTCTTTTAGCATCGGGCAAGCTGAAGAGAAGTTTGGTGTCAAATAACCAAGCATGCCGTTAGCTTTCGCTGTAATGTATTTAATCAATTTTTCAATGAGGGATTGTTACGAATGCGCACACCAAAATATTTATAAGACATCAATCGATAAAGCAAAGTATATTTAGGTAAATAAGTAGGGCATGCCGACTTATTATAGAATAATCTCATTGTTTTGCATTAGACCTGTTAAGGTTTATTAGGCAGAGCTACACCATGTTTAGATATTCTTATCATCACCATAGTATGCTAAAGTGTGATTAGGGCTTTCAAAACTTTGATATAAAACACAATCCTTAACAAATCTATATAAGCTTTAGAAACACTGTTGAATGCGGTCATTGTTGAGAGGGAACTCGGAAGCAAGGACGAAGGGGAAGCTCTCCTTAACGCGCATTTTATTTTGCGGCAAAACGAATGAAAAATCTACATCATACTAACCTTGGTCGATACAACGATTATAATTGCTACGTGCCATTGGCATGGAGCTGAAGAGGGCAAAAAGAGAGACTGGCGTGAGCTTATCTGTGTGACTGCTGCTCACTTAACCGGCTGTAAGTGTATCTGTGTCTACTTTCTGAGTCAGGTCCCTTTCATAATCGGGGAGTTGTGGGTCTCCTTCTCGTAACAATATCGTGCTTAAACCACTAACATTACGCGTATGATGCAAAGGCCAAAAGAATATCTTGATTCAAGATGGTAAACGACAAAACCAGAAAATGACAAGAGTTAAATGAAAAAAATTGACAGAACCGTCGTACTATGGGAGTCCTTGATATGCGAAACACGAATGAGGAAGGTTGATTTGTCACTTCATAATAAGCACAGCATTACGAGAGGAAAAGAAATTATGGCTTTGAGAATCCATGCTATTATTATCATGTTTGAATGTGCGATTTACCTTCGTCGTCTATTCGCATCACATGATACGAAATTTTGTGAATATGGAGCAAGCGAAACGTCTGCGAGCACACTATAAACGTAGCATGTAGTCGTGTTTTACAATGACACGCATGTCATGATTATCGCGTTCGGACGCGTCAATCACCTACGTCGTCCAGTACACGTCACGTATATCCTAATTTAGTATATGTCAAGCTAGCGAAAGGGCTGCGACTGCATCATGAGCGTAGCATGTTGTCCTGTCATTACTTTAGAGTTATGTCATGATCATCATGTTTATACCAGTGATATACTTTCGTCATTTATTGCTGTCACGTCACGCCAAAGTTGGTATAGCGGAGCTAGCGAAACGGCCGCGAGAGCATCTTGAGCGTGACATGTAGTCTTCTTCTTACATGACGCTCACTTCATGATTATCATGTTTGCACCAGTCACGTACCCTCGTCATCTATGGACCTCACGTAACACCAAGTATGACATATGTGAAGCTAGTGAAAGGGGAGAAACTTCCCTCGCGCTTCACTCCTGCGTTTAAACCATCGATACCGCCCTCGTGTTTTGTTCGACCCACAGTGCATCTTAGTGCATCTGAGCTTTCATCACCAGTGCTGAAACAACTGTCTCGTCTTCTTTTGTACGAGAAATATAAAGACAGTGTACATACATATACCGACGGCTCTACGAACCACCAGTGTTCGTCAGGTGCAGTAGTTGTCACAGCAAGAGGTGTTACCATCAGCTTTAAGACTGACCACTCCACGTCATCTACAGCACCAGAACTAGCTGCTTTGCGCGCTGCACTTTGTGTGATCAATCGAGAACCAGCGTAACAATGGTCGATTTTCAGCGACTCAAGGGCTGCCCTGCACTTTGTGCTCTCAGCACTGTGTCACGGGCCGCACTAACAGCTTGTTTTCGAAATTTCATGCCTTCTCCACATTTCACACGAGAAAGGGCATCGTGTAACGTTTAAGTGGCTGGCACGTCACTGCGGTGTAATAGGAAACGAACATGCCGGTAAGGCCGCGCGCACAGCTCTTGAAGGAACACGAGAAGAAGCCATACCACTTTCGCGGATCGATGCTGCCAGTAATCTTCGACGACTTGCGCGTGAAATCACGTTTTCACTATGGTGCCTACCAAGCAACGAGACGAATCGTCAACACCACCTGTCCACTTTTATGGCTTTCCGCATGCCCACTGGGCTCGACCGAAGAGAAGCCAACCTTCTTCATCGCTTATGGCTAGGAGTGGCAGTTACAAAATCTTATTCATTTGTCAAAGGAATAGCTGACAACGCTCTCTGCGATGCCTGGCGTTGCAAGTAGACGCTACACCACATTCTGTGCGACTGCCCGTTGTATGACATCCAGAAACAGTCACTGGCGTCCGTTATTTCTCGCATCTACAACAGCGAAATGTCTGCAAACACTATTCTTTCGAGTGCCAGAGAGAAGACATTGCAACAGAAGGCGACAAAAGCTCTGTTAAAATTCCTACGCGACACGGACTTGAACAAGCGCCTGTAACAGCAATGCCATACACGATGAAAGACACGACGGGACTATGGCACGATTTGCGCCCGTGGGCTGCCGAGAGTGCTGTGTTTATCTCTTTTCCCGCTCTCCTCTCTATCTTTCACCTCCTCCATCCCCCTCCCATGCACAGGGTAGCAAACCGGCTGCCTACGGGCTGGTTAACCTCCCTGCCAAACGTTTCCTTCTATTTTCCTTCCGTAGTGATACGGCCGCGAGCACATAATGAGCGTGGCATGCAGTCATGTTGTTAAGTGACACGCATCCTATGATTATCATGTTTGCACTAGGTACATACTTTCGACATTCATTGATGTCACGTTACACTCAATTTAGCCTATACAAAGCTAGCGAAACGGCCGCGAGCACATTATGAGCGTGGCGTGTATTCAAGACTAGTCATAAAGTTAAAAACATGACATGAATGTCATGATTGGTCATATCATGACAGAATTTGTTAGGGTCTCTCACTCATGTTTGCCAAGCAGTCATGTCATACCAAAACCAGTTTTGCGAATTGTTCTGCGAATGGAACCACCACAACAGCAGCAACACCATGAAATGTAAACATGACATTCACGTCATACTTCTCATAATCATAATGTTATGACTAGTAAATTATGCTCGTTAACATTAGACCCACAGCTGGAGGCAACCATCCGCA